CTATACACAATCTATACACAATATTATTATATTTTTTTATCATTGAACTATTAGCTGTCCTATATATGTGTATGTACATATACCAGTTTGGACATCGCAGTTAAATAGTTTAGGTTTATGAGAGAGGGCTGACTGCTGCTGCCCGGTCTTTGTCTAATGTGGTCCCTTAGTGGGACAAATATAGTCATATTCTGGCTACACAACTTCATACATTTTACTTTTAAAATTTATTACAGATATCCATAATTGGTATGGCGTCACCTAATTCCATAGTGTTGGTTGATTCATTCCGGTATATTCCACCTGGTACGGCTGAAACTGTATGCTGGATATACGAACCACCACCAACCACTCCGGCGCCCAACCCTGACTGTATCAGACCACCTGGGGAAGACAATTCATGGTTTTGGACCAAGCTCATCATTGCGTTGATAATTCTTCTAAATCTAGTAGTGTTGGTTTTAACATGTATTGTATTTTACGAACTCGGAAGGAGTAAGGCTAGTATACCTTTATTGAAACGTTTCGTCTCAACAGCACCACCGCCGACACCACCACCTTCAACATAATCATGATACAATTCGTCTGGATATCATACCAATATACTCCTTTCTCTCTTTCTTTAGTTATTCAATTTTAAACTTTATTGTTTTGTTTGAAAATTGAAAATTGTCGAAAGAGATATCGTGGTTTAATAATTTGGTTTAATAACTTTGTTTATGCCTAACGCAGCTCACTGGCTATCTCTGTAAATTGTTCCTTGAGCGTATTGCCAAGAGTTTTGTTTCTGTTAATATATGGAAAATTATTGTGTCCTTTGTTTTATTCATTTATTCTAATATGGAATATTTTTTTTTGTAAACTTCGTTTAAACTTCAACTCCCTCTTTTTGTGAAGTCGGTTAATTAATATACTAAAATATTCTAAGTATAACAAGCACTTTTCTGAAAACTGCACCAAACATGTTCAGCCAATGGAGAGATACAAACCTTTTTATTGTTGGTTAAAAAGGTAAAATTAAATATGACTGCACGGCTACCGTGCACCGTATAGCGAGTTCGTTTTTGGCAAGAAAGGAAATCCCTTTTTTTTTAAATAAAGTGCCTGAATAAAGGATTATTCTGATAGGATAAATTAAGTATATTTACCTTTATTATATTTCATAGAATTAAACTATATCCAATAGTATCAAAAACTATTATGCATCTTACACTATAATATAATTATTAAATTTTTAAGAAGCTGAAGACTCTTTGTGTGGTCCATAAATTGTTGTTCAGGGTCTGGGTGCCATGTATTTAAAATTGTATGTTTGTAAACGGGCTCAAGACAGGCGAAGCTCTTAATGTGGGGTTAAGATTTATAAAAGTGATGCAGCTTCAAAACCTGACAAGCAACATCATGATCACCATTAACGGGCCGTGAGAGTTCCCTACTGGACTCAATAGTCCAGTAGGATCCAATGATATGCTCTAGTAAAGAGGGGTTTGAAACATTGATGATAAGGTGGAAGATCTAAGTAGGGTAGTTGACCGGGTATGAATATTAAAAATCTATTTAGTCCGTCAGTCAGAATGTTAATACTTTGTCAGTGTCAAAAACAGACACTTCAACAAAACTATTTCAGTTTAAAAGTATTGTCTTTTTTTTAAGAAGGGAAAATCATCAATTGACATCTCTCACCTGTATGAGGCGGGTTTGAGTCTCAGACACTTACTGACTATAAACCACCCCGTTCCTACTCCTGCCCGGCAACCCGTTGAGTCTTTCGCGGCAGAAGTAGGGTCTAACTATGTCATCGCTTCCTATAACATGTAGTAAATTGTGACTTCATCATCGTAATTGATATTTCAAATCAATATATCGTCGAAATTAGTATTTCGGTATTTCATTTAGTAAGAGAAAGAAATGACGTATGTAATGTTTTAAATTAGTCTACCAGATGGATATTAAATTAAAATTTAGGCAACTACTCTCTTGGGCACTAAAGGTCATAATAGCTTTAACTTGTCATTTAAATATGAAATTCAAGGCGGTAGGCAAATTTGAAACAATGACGTGCCGGAGTCGTACCAAAGCCGTGCTTATCAAGTCTACTTACCTTACCTTAGTCTTAAAATAAAGAGAAAACATTTAAATTTTATAATTTCATATCCCAACTTTTTTAGGCAAATTCTCGAAGGGGTTTAAAACCCATGATTCATCAGTTATGTTATGAAAACGATATAATACCTGGGGTGAACCTGTTATCTGTTAAATGACGTCTAAGTATAGACTTTTTAATGACTTTAAAGCATTCTGAGTAATTTTGCTTGTCTGATTTATATGATTTGATAATCATTCTTTTTAATTAAGATAAAATCAAGATTTTAACATTAAAAAAAAAACCTTAAACACAAGAACTTTCTCCTTTGTCATGGGTGCGTTTACAAACATAACAAATTCACATACACATTGCACCAGACCTAAAACCATAATATCTGGATTACAAGGAGAGCTTCGTGCGGGAATCGAACCCGCTACACGATGCGCGACAGCGGGTTACCCAGCCATGACGCCAATTGTTCAGGTTGTTCAGAATAAATTGTTGGTCTTATAGTGGGAGTAAAGAGTATAGAACTCATTTCAACCCTTAAACACACGAGGAAAGACTAATAACATAAATTAACCATTTTTGATTCACATGGAACGTTCTTTAAGACTAAGAGAGAATATTAGTTGGTTTTCTTCAGGTGCCCTAACTAACCAACTAATTAATTATTTGCTTGATACTATTACTTAATATTAATAAATCAAAATCTTATCATTTTATTACAAAGTAAATGTGTTGATCAGATAAGATCAATTTAATTAAATAACTTTACAAATTAGTTCGTACAGTTTAACAAAATAGTACTTATCAAACTCTAATCGTTGCATATTGTCTAAAAAATGGTTCTAAAGACTTTTATTTCACTCAATTTGTTAACTTCGTTTGTGATTAGCGAATCTTGTGTCACGTACAATTTCGAAGAAAACTTCGATGGTTTGTTTAGTGACTATGGTTTCTGTGCTGGCATGCCCTCATGGATTATCGGCGATTACAGGAATTTGGGATTAGCCAGACCAGATGAGCTCAGTAACAAGTTCATCAGACCAACACCTTACATGCATATGAGTTGTTCAACATCGTTCTACTTTACAATGCACTCGTCTGGTACACTGGAATTTAACATATTCATAGATTCAGAAGTCGCTAATGATCAGATACAAATTTTGGTCTTTGAAATATTACCTGGTAGTTCCGTTACTATAGCAGCAATCGCCTTCGTGAGCGCCCAGACTGTAAAGGGATGGGCTACTGTAACGATACCATTAGTTGGTGCTAAAACTTTTGAAGGATATGTGAGTATCTTTACGTAATATAAGAATGTGTAAGAAGACAGTATTAAGATCACAGTTTTCAGTCTCCAAACAGACAAACTATAAATGTAAGACATAATACTAATTACCATGTCACGTCTTCGTTGCATTGAAGAGGAGAGTAGAGTTTGTTTTCAAAAATATTTTTGAAAATAAACTCTGTTAAGGAGGGCCAGTCTATTTTCAGACGTCGTGGCCAATTCCAGACTCCAAACTATTGAGAGTCTTTGAAAACAAAAAGCGAACGTCTAATTCTTGATTGTTAGTTTGCGACTATTCGGCGAATGAGACAATAATAATGTAATTATTTTTACAGGTATCCCTAATGGGCATATCATCTCCAAATTCTATAGTAATCATCGACTCATTCCGGTATATACCACCTGGTATTGATGAAAGTTCCTGCCAAGTTTACGAAGAGCTACCGACATTAACAACTACTTCTAAACCGACCACTATTCCAGAAACAACAACAACAATGGAACCAACTACAACTCCAGAATTAACCACTACACTTGAACAACTAACTACTCCGCAACCAACAACTACACCAGAACCAACAACTACTACTGATCCAACCACTACTCCTAAGCCGGACACTATTCCACTACCAACAACAACGGAACCTACAACTACTCCTGAACCAACGACTACTTCAGAACCAACAACTACTCCTGAACCATCGACTACTTCAGAACCAACAACTATTCCTGAACCAATGACTACTTCAGAACCTACAACTACTCCTGAACCTACAACTACTCCTGACCCAACAACTACTCCTGAACCTGCAACTACTCCTGACCCAACAACTACTTCTGAACCTACAACTAATCCTGAACCTACAATTACTCTGGAACCTACAACTACTCCTGAACCAACGATTACTTCAGAACCTACAACTACTCCTGAACCTACAACTACTCCTGACCCAACAACTACTCCTAAACCTACAACTACTCCTGACCCAACAACTACTCCTGAACCTACAATTACTCCGGAACCTACAACTACTCCTGAACCAACGATTACTTTAGAACCAACAACTACTCTTGAACCAACGACTACTTCAGAACCTACAACTACTTCTGAACCTACAACTACTCCTGACCCAACAACTACTCCTGACCCAACAACTACTCCTGAACCTACAACTATTCCTGAAACGACAACTACTTCTGAATCTACAATTACTCCGGAACCTAAAACTACTCCTGACCCAACAACTACTTCTGAACCTACAACTACTCCTGAACTTACAATTACTCCGGAACCTACAACTACTCCTGAACCTACAACTACTACTGAACCTACAATTACTCCGGAACCTACAACGACTCCTGATGCAACAACTACTCCTGGACTTACAACTACTCCTGAACCAACAACTACTCCTGAACTTACAATTACTCCTGACCCAACAACTATTCCTGAATCTACAACTAGTCCGGTCTCAACGACCACCACAAAACCACCTACTGATACAGAAGATAAAACAAGGTTTTGGACCAAAATAATCATTACCTTGGTACTTCTTTTAAATCTGATAGTGTTTATTTTAACATCTATTATATTTTATGAACTCGGACAAAGGACTTCTATTACTAATATACGATAGATTATTGAATCCTTACATTTGTTTTATTCGTTTAACATCAATTGCCTATAAGTAGCTAATATTGAGCAAAGGCCTCTTCCCATACGAGGAAGGTATGAACATTGATCACCACATTGGATCAAAGCGTATTGGTGATTTCAAACCTATAATTAGAAATGATAAGAACATCACAAAGTTCTCCTTCATCGTATGTCACTGGTATCTAAATTATGTTACAAATTAATAATTCGGGAAAGTCACATTGGTACTTGCAGGTTTCTAACTCGCATCCTCATGCGTGTCTTAAAACTCCGGGGCACCAGGACGATATATTAGGACACTATTCGATTATGTTTTTATATGCACTTATGACACAGCAGAAAATCCTAGCGTAGAGCAGAATTTATTTTTAATGATAAAAGAAAAGCAGGTAGCCTAAGAAAGAAGATCATAAGTTTGTTTGTGGCATCTTACCAAACATACTGATGAATAATTTTTTAAGTTTACTTCATTATAGTTACTTGTTTATTAGTTATAATTTATCACTATTTTTCTGGTTTATACAAAGACGTAGTTCCAAAAATCGCATTGATTTGATATTTTGTATCCTTTTACTTTGGCGATACATTTTGCCTGTACTATGTACACAAAGCACCGCTAATTAGTTCGTAACGCTCACATCGACACTACTGTCATTTACACAATGTACATGTGTGGGTAATTTCATATTACTGTGTATAAAAATATTCGTCCACCACGTTCACATTGGTATTTTCATTCTTGTGTCGGTATACGTATTTTTATAATTTAATGCATGGGTAAGGTTAAAACTATTTACAATCATTGATATGACCCGACATTTTCACTGTAATTATCGTAGTGCTCGTGGTCGATTGGTTAATGAGTACGCTTTTATCGTCTTTCAAGGATCAATGATGATGTGGGTTCTATTCCAGCTAAAAGTTTTTTTTTATTTTACCTTGTTGTTTTTCTTATTTATTTTTTTTT